TATATGTACATATATATATATATACATATATATATACATATAGATATATATATATATATAGATATACATATATAGATATATATATATAGAGAGAGAGAGAGAGAGAGATAGAGAGATATATAGATATAGAGAGGGATATATATATATATATATATATATATATATATATATATATATATATCAAAAATATATTTAATGCACCAATTCTACATATCAATACATATGGTCTCTTGTAGTGCTACATAATTACGATTAACTAGCTCTTTAAAAGCAATAATCCTAGACTCCATATCAGTAGTTTTCCAAGCACTAGCTCTAGGGTGGTGGTATCGCCTCCAATAATCTGCTACAGGGGGAAGAGGACAATTCTTCTTTAAAACAAGATGCACAAAATGATTTCCATCAACAAGCGCTATCCCATGCTCTTGTCTTTTTCCCTTTCCTTTGTCATCTTGACCGGGTACCTTTTTGCCACGATACACTCCCACACGCTCGCATACAAGTACCACGTAGGGCCTTCTACGTCTATTTTTTCCCGGGTTTGAAGACTTTACTGTCATTATCATTCCTAGTCGCATACCAACTTCGCGCACCCATGTGACTAAATTGTCCCTTGTTGCAAACTCCTCATGGGTTGTAAATTCATGTGAATAATCCAAAGCTAATTCCCTACATGCATTATCTCCACTACACACGCTAGGTACAAAACCCTGCAAGAAAAACCGGAAAATTGGTTACACAATTGTAACATTGAAAAATCGACACACCAATGTCGAAATATGCATCTAATATCGACACCAGGATGTCGAAAATTTCAATATAATTCGACAGTTAAAGAGTGTCGAATTATGTTGAAATTTTCGACACTACTGTGTCGATATTAAGCGCATATTTCGACCTGTACACGTCGAATTTTTTGTACGTGAAATGAGGTGCGAAAAATGAGAAAAACGATCACAAAGTACAATATTTCTTACCTCTTTGTGTTCTTGGACCTTAGAATCCTCCATATTTATGTCTCGTGTATCCATAATGTCCTTCTTTTCAAGTTTTAGTAAGATTTGAGGGTTTTGTGTGATAAGGATTTTGGAGAATATGGAAGATTTTTTTGTGGAAAAAAATGTGTAAAATGAGGGTGAAGAAGAAGATGTTGGTGTTTTGTTGGGGGAGTGAGTTCCCTCTCGTTTTTCCTTTTTTTTATTCTTTTTTTTTTGTATTTTTTTTTGGGTCTTGCAATAGCAATTAACTTAATTTAAATTAATAATATCTAAATTATTATTGGGGTTATATTTGTAATTTCCAGTCTTGATCTTAGTAAATTTATTTATATTTTGGTCTTGCATGAAGTAAGGTCTTGCACTTAGTAATTTTCGTCTTGCAAATATTCGTTGCCATGTTCAATACTATTTTTTTGATGGCAAATTTAAAATAGAAAAAACTAGTTCTATCATCATATATGAATAAGTTCTAGCACATTTTTTCACATGACCAATAGGTCTCTCTCTCTAATTTTATTTATATTTCTCCGTTATATATAAAGAAGAGAGACTATTTCTTTATCTTTTCTTGAAATTTTCAGTTGTTAATTATAAGTAAGGGTGGAAATTGGATGGATCAGAATTGATACTGTCGCAAAATTTTCGGAAGCGAAAAACTATTTCTAACTGTTCCAAAAAAGAAGAAACAAAACTCGAAAAATTTGGATATCGGGATTTCAAAAATTGTAATGAATAACGTTGTTCCAAAATCGAAATTCTTTGGATTGGAATCTGCAGAATTCGGAAATTTCAAAATTTTAGTCACCTATAACATGAAATATATAATAATATTGACAATATAAGTGTAAGTTTCTGGAATATAGTTTAAAATTTTTGAAATAAAATCGAATGGCAAATCGAAAAACTAATATGTATTCAAATTCCGTTAAAAAAAAATCGAATTCTGAACTTTTGGATTTCGGAAAGAAAAATGTTGTCCCAAAGTCGGAAATATCAAATCGAAATCAACGGCATTTGGAATTTCTATTCCAATTTCCATTTCGGAATTAGGTGACGAGCATTTTCTTTTAACCTCAAACCGACAGTCATTTTTAAGTTCATTTAGGCGGAGAAGCAGATGTTTTTTCTACTTGAAAGTAGGGGTGGACATTCGGGTCGGGTTACCCTGGTCGGGTAATCGGGTCATACCCGACCGGATCGGGTAATTTTCGAATTAACCGGGTTTTTTCTGGGTTGGGTACCCGGGGCTCCCAAATCAGGTCCGGGTATTTGCAATTCTACTCGGGTACCCGGTTAAAAAAAAAAATTATATATATATATACATATATATATATATATATATATATATATATATATATATATATATATATATATATATATATATATATATATATATATATATATATATATATATATATATATATATATATATATATATATATATATATATATATATATATATATATATATATATATATATATATATATATATATATATATATATATATATAGATAGATATATACCTTGACGCTCCAATGCCATTCAAGGACGTGAATGCGCATCAAGAAACGTGCACAAAATCACTCGAAAAAAAAAAAGCAATGGCAAGAGAAATCGGTATATATATATCTCTGTATATATATACAAATATAT